CTTCCTCCCCTTCTTACAGGTGGGGACAGAGGTTCAGAGATGTGAGGCAAGCTCCCCAAAGTCACACAGCACACGGGCGAAGTCCCAGGATTGCAGAAATCCCAGGACTAGACAGGCACCAGAATGTCCTGTGTTTTAAGAAAACAGTCCAAGAGAAGGGACAAGTCTGCAAGGCGTCCAGAGAAGGAAGCAAGGGCTCGGCTCGGTCTCCCCCAAGGAGGACAGCTTCTCAGCAAGGTTCCTAAGTGTCTAATGGGGCCAAGCCTGAACCAAGGGGTCATGTCCAGGTGTGGGGCACTGACCTGGGATGGGGGAGGCTAAGGAGAAGAGAGGGGTGCACAGGCCTACAGGGAATTCCAGAGCTGGGGAGAATGGGGTACAGGCCACGGGGGTCTTGTCCACCCCATCCTTTTTCCTGGAATCCAGGGCAGCTATTGAGGGATTTAAGTGCGGGGCTGTCAGAGTCCAGTTTGTGCTCTGGAAAAATTGTTTCAGATCAGAGACCAGCGTGAGGTCAGGTTAGAGGATGGGAGGAGAAGCTGTGAAAAGGCGATGGAGAGCAGGGGGTCGGTCCTCGGTGACCAGACACCGAGATGGCCTATGGAATCGGCAGGCGAACTTACGGTGGCATCGTCAGAGGGCTGACGGGGAGGAACAGGCACTGTCATGAACCGGCTATAAAAATCTAAACGGTACACCCTTTTCGGCAAAATGCTTCAAGTCGTGAAAGAAAGCATATTTCTTTAAATTGTGTAATTCCGCTTTTAGGAATTCATCTGGGGGCAGGGGAACAATCAAAAAGATGTGACCAAAGGTTTACAAGACAGAAACTCAACTTATTAATGATGGGAGAAAACTGGAAATAACTTAAATATCCATCAGAAAGGGTGTGATGAAACACAGCATGGAACAGCCGTAGTAAGGCATCTTAACACAAACTTCCAAAATGATATTTCTAAAATTGGGTTTTTAAAGCATGTGTGTACTTTCAAAAGCTTGTCAGAAAATATAGAAATATGTCAATAATGTATCTCTAGCCAGATATTCTTAATTTTTGCTTTATAATTTTATAAAATTATAAAGTTATAATTGTATGAAATATAATTATAAAATTATAAACTATAAAAAATAGCTATGAAAATGTTCACAAGAAGATATATATAAAATTTTATCTTCTAAAATGCTTTTTAATACCAAAATAATGTGTGCTTTTAAAAAAAGATTGAGTACAGAAATGTATAAAGCAGAAATTGAGAGTTTCTGCACACCAGCCCCACACGTATTACCCTAAAACCCGTTCTCCAGCGAGAGACAATGCACGTGGGTCTGTACACTTCTGGCCCTCCTCCCAGGCGCGTATGTCCCTGAAAACACACACACACCCCTAATGGGTGGTGGGCTTTATTTTTCAAAATGGACTCATACTCTGCCTATGAGCCTGCAACTATCTTTCTAAACAGTCTGTTGAGACTTTTCTATATCAGCCCGCATGGATCTCCCAAGTTCTCTGAATGGCTCTGTGTGAATTCAAAGTTTGGATGAAGCAGCTTGTCTTTAATCATTCCCCTGAGTGGACATTTAGGTTGCTTCCACTAAAAAAATGTAAATTACAAAAGATGCTACGTGGAAACGTGTGTAGCTATATGCCCGTACTTTGTTCACTGTTATCTCCCCGGAAAGATGTCTAAAAATGGGATGCTGGGTCAGAGACAACAGGCTTTGAAATTTTCATAGGTGATGCCAATGGTCCTCCCAAGTGTCTGTTCCAGCTTCCGTTCACTGCAGTGAATGACAGTGCTTTTTCCTCTCCATTCTTGCCAATAATGTGACATTTGGATCTTGTTTTTATTTTGCGCGTCTGAAGAGCAAAAATGAGAGCAAAACTGTTTGCTGTTTGTTTATTTGATTGTTGGTGAAATTTATATTCCTTTCATATTTTTATTGATTGATTTTATTTCTTCTGTGAATGTACTGGTTGTAATTTTGCCTGGTTTATTTTTCGTTCGGTTGATTATATTTTAAGGTTTATAGAAACTCTTCATCCGTTTGGGATAGTAACCCCTCATTAGCTATGTATGTGGTAAATATTTTTGCCTGATCCGTTTTCCAATTTCGTTTGTTGGGTCTTTCAACATTAAGCCTTTTTAATTTTTACGTGTCAGATCGGTTGTTTTTCTTTATGGTGTTTGTGATCTGTGGCAAGCATAGGAAAGACATTCCTATTTTTATTTTTTTTTTAATTTTATTCCTGTACTTCTATTGTTTTGGTGTTTGTTTTTACTTCGCCTTGAATTTATTTTTGTGTTGGTAGAAATGTATCCTTATATATTTTCCAAATGGGGAACCGGTCGTCCTGTCTTTGTCGAATACAAACACAGCCTTCACCAAATGCTGAATTACTGACTTATCACATCCTCTCTGTGGTTCTAACCATCAATTCCCGCATCCCTTCCACCATGTTTTAATTATTGTAGCTTTACTGTGTGTTTTGGTACCTGCTAGAGAATAATCCTGCCGTTACTATTCTCAATCAAAATATTTGTGTCTATTCTCCACCATTGAGATGAGACGGTTGGATGTCATCATCGACTCAATGGACATGAGTTTGAGTAAGCTCCGAGAGTTGGTGGTGGACAGGGAAGCCTGGCGTGCTGCAGTCTATGGGGTCGCAAAGAGTCGGACACAACTGAGCGACTGAACTGAACTGAACTCCACCATTATTCTTACTGTTGGACTTTAGAACTGGTTCACTGATTTTTTTTTTAATATTTATTTTTTTGGCTGCGCTGGGTCTTAGCTGCGGCACTCTGGAGCTTTAGTCGCGACTTGCAAACTCTTAGTTGCAGCTTGTGGGTTCTAGTTTCCTGACCAGGGATTGAACCCAGGCCCCCTGCCTTGGGAGCTTGGAGTCTTAGCCACTGGACCACAGGGGAAGTTCAAAATTATTCCTTTGATGTTGCGCTTGTAATTTCACGGTGTACACGGGTTCACTTGAGGGGAGTTGAGCTCTTTGCTGCTGTGTCCGTTCATCAGGTTGTGCTATATTTTATCCTCACAGATCCTGTACATTCCGTGTTAAGTTTATTCCTAGAGCTTTTAGTAGAACTTTTATCGAGATTGTCAGTGCTTCCCCCATTTCGTATTTTCAGTGGTTACTGCCTGTATAGAAGGAAACCTGCTGACTTTTGCCTCGCCTGCTTGTATTCAATCACAGGTTAACTCTTGTACTAGTTCTAATAGTCCTTCAGTTCATCTTGAGCTTGCTTTTTTTTTTTTTAAGTAAACTAGCCCCTCACCTGCAAAAACCAATTTTATATCATTTTTCCTAACATTCACACTCTTCCCCCCAGCTCATCTCGTGGGCTTGAATCTGTAGAAGATGTTAAATAATAAAAGCGAGCATGGGAACCCTGGCCTCTAAAGTGGTTTTGCCTTTAATTGTGAGGCATGCTGTAAGTTTCAGGAGATACTGTTCATTAAGTTGAGGATGTGTCCTTAGATAATTAACTTAGTAAAAGGCTAGATATTTGCTTTCTTTAATCAGAAATAAGTGCTGAATTTACATTGCTGTTCTGTTAAATTTTGTTTCAAAAATCGTATGTGCATACCTTAAATACAACCATGACCCAAAAGTTCCATTGCTGAATTAAAAGGATGCTGTACCCAGTGAAGTAGGGGTTACCTTCCTACTTAGATTAACTGTGTCGAGAGATAATATCAGATTTGGCAAGGCCTGAGGATTCTTGTCATCATAAACTCTTACAGTGCAATCTGGGTGTTCTGTTTTTCTGAGATTTGTAGGGGTATTTTTTGTTATGGTAGGACACAGAGGCTGACTCAGTGAGGGGCAAGCATTACGGGATGAGTCCAGGCCTCTGGCTCGGGGAGAAATATACCGAACTGAGAACAATGAGGGGACCAAATCTGCAAGGAACTGGGAGCAGTTTAGATGGGAGATGCAGAGTCTGAGGTGTCTGTGGGACACTCAAGCAGAGATGCATCCAGGAGGCAGAATGTGTATAAACCCAGAGCCAAAAAAAGAAGTCAGGAAAGGAATAGGGATGCAAGGCCCCTGGGCGGTTGTCCGAGTGCACAGTGTGGGTCAGAAACAGAGAGAGGGGAAGGGCACTGGGGGGCTGCGGGGGGACCGCAGACTTGACTGGGACGGGGACCTTGTTAGACTCGACCTGAGAAGCTTCAAGGAGGGATGGGGGTGGGAGAGAGGGCTCCCCCAACCACGTCCCAGCATGTGAAACAGGGCCTGGCAGACGGGTGCTTGATGGCCATTGTTGGACAGACAGGTGAAGGATGGATGGATGGATGGATGGATGATGGATGACAGATGGATGGATGGATAATGGATGATAATGGATGAATGGATGATGGATGGATGGATGATGTTGGATGACAGATGGATGGATGGTGGATGTTGGATGGATGGAGAAACAGATGTATAGAAAGACAGTGATCTGAGACAGCAGGAAAGGCTTCATCAAAGAGAATGAACTGAGCTGCGTCTCCGTGGGTGGAGGAGACAGGGCAGGGGTTCCCCACGTGGGGCCTTAGGAATAGCCTGGTGTCCACAGGCCCAGGAAGGAAGCTGCCTGGCTGGACTGTGAGAAACGGTGGAGAAGAAACACCCAGCGGCCTGACAGTGAGGCCAGGAGCGGCCAGGCAGGTCCGAGCCAGCCCAGTACTCCTCTGCCGCACCACACAGACGCAGCGTCTCCGTCAGCACTGAGGAGTCAGTGGTGGCCAGGACGGCCTCCGAGTGAGGGGGACACGCTGGGCGACTCCAAGGCATGTGTGGCTGCTGCCTCGGCCAGGGGGCTGGGCAGGGGGACACCTCCAGGACATGAGCTCAGGGGTGCCCTGGCCTCCGGAGGGCTGGCTCCACACCTCCCCTCGGCCCGAGGACACAGCCCCAGTGGCTGCAGCCCTGTGCCCATCACGCCCAGCAGGTTCCCGCTTGGCGCAGCCCCCCGGGGGACAGGCCCCAGGTGCTGGCCCAACGGGTTTTGGTCTGAGGCTCAGTCACTGTGTTGTCTTCGGCGGCGGGACCCGGCTCACCGTCCTGAGTAAGTGGCTCTCAGCCCTTCCCCAGCCTGCCTCGCCCTCTGCTTTCTCGGGAAAGTCACTTCTCTTGCTCTGGGGGCGGCTTCCTCTCTGTCCCCCCGGCCTTAGGGGCCAATCCCCACCTTTCTCTGTGGGGCAGGGATGGGAGGCTGGTTGGTCTTGGGGTAACCAGCTGGAGCCTCCAGAGTCCTACCGTCCAGCGGGACCAATCCGGGGGCTGGGGCTGGGGTTTGGTCCAGGAATGCAGGGACTTGTTCCCCTTTGCGGGGCAGACGCTGGGATGCAGGCCAGAGGCTGATGCTGACTAGGGGTGTCTCCAAGCCCCGGGCTCCAGGCTGTGAGCTCCGTGCCCCAGCCGGGAGTGCCAGACGGGAGCTTGGGGGCTCGGCGGGGACTGTGACCAGGCTCCAGGGACACAGGGGGCAGTCTGAGGGAGGCCCCGGGAGGGCAGAGAGAGAGGGGTCTCGCCCGCCCTGGGCTGAGGGGCCGGGTGGACACAGCTGAGACGGGGCGAGCTGACCAGAGGCTCTTGGGACAGCGGCCAGGAAGGAGCGGTTCCCCTGGGGCAGGAACTCCTCCGTCCGGGAGCCCTGATCCGCTGGGGCCCAGGGGTCACACCTGTCTGAAGGTCGGCCTCCGCTGGCCTCGAGGCGGGCGTTAGAGTTAGGAGATGATGAACAGGGCTCTGACCCCCATAAAATCGGGGTCGTTGGAGGTGCTGTGTTGGGGCACCATCCCCTGAAGGCAGGCGAGGCGAGGGGCCCTGCACTCAGGCAGGAGGGATGGGGAGACAGGCAGGGCCTCAGCAGGAACCCCGGGCTTTGGCCGGGAGAGCTGAGGCTGGGCTGGGGCTAGCCGGTGCCCGACGAGGAGAGGAAGGCCCAGGCCCCGCTGGGCACACGGCTGTGGCGCGGTTGTCCCGCCAACTCCCGTCAGGACAGTCCTGGCCAGTGGGCTGGGGGACCGCGGTTCACGGAGGAAGCACCTGGGCTGCAGAAGTGGAAAGTCACGGAGGGGTCTGGCAGGGACTGAGGGCTCAAGACGTCAGGGCCAAGAGCAAACACAGACTCCAGGGGCCAGGAGGACGGAGGAGAGCAGCCCTGGTCACCGCCAGGGACCCTGAGGCCACGCTTGGCCGGTCGCTTGGGAGAGGGGCACGCCCCGGCTTCTGAGGGGCTGAGTGCAAGGGATGGGCGGGCAGAAGAAGGCAAGCAGGGCCACCGCGGGGGCACGTCACAGAGGCTGTACTGGGGGGACAAGGTCAGAACCTCCCCGGCATCTGACACCCCCTCCTCTGTCCACACAGGTCAGCCCAAGTCCGCACCCTCGGCCACTCTGTTCCCGCCCTCCACGGACGAGCTCAGCACCAACAAGGCCACCCTGGTGTGTCTCATCAGCGACTTCTACCCGGGCAGCGTGACCGTGGCCTGGAAGGCAGACGGCACCCCCGTCACCCGGGGCGTGGTGACCAGCCAGGCCTCCAAACAGAGCAACAGCAAGTATGCGGCCAGCAGCTACCCGACCCTGACGGGCAGCGACTGGAAATCTAAAGGCAGTTACAGCTGCGAGGTCACGCACGAGGGGAGCACCGTGAAGAAGACAGTGAAGCCCTCAGAGTGCTCCTAGGGCCCCGGGCCCCTCTCGCCCTCACCCCCTCCCCAGCCCTCCATGGACCCCTGGGCCCCCGCCCAGGTCGGCTCAGACCGGGGGGCTCTCCTCCCTCCCTCTTCCTGCTTCTCCTGAATAACGACCTTGTCATTTATCAGCCGACATCTCTGAAGTGCTTTCTGGGTCTGGCCGGGTGTCGGGGTTAAGGGTCAGTTCCTTAGGGAAGGGACAGGTATGACGTGAGAGTCCGTCTACTTGTCATCACCCCAACCCAGCCCCAGGGAGCAGGGAGCTCTGAGTGCCAGGGGAGCGGTGACCCAGAGCAGGACATTGTCAGGCGGTGCAGGCTGCCGGGGTGCAGGCTTGCCCCCCCACACCCTGTCCCCCTGGGAAGGGACAAGGGCCTGTGAAAGGGACAGGGGATGGCTCTGGGAGGATCATGGAAAAAACCAAAGGGGTCCCAGGAGGCAGCAGTGGCCCAGAGGCAGGATTATGGGGGAAGGAGACTCCGAGGCCATAGTCTCAGAAGCAGAGGTTGACCTTTCCTATTTCATCAGGGGCCCGGAGGGGAGAGCAGTTACCAGGTGAGGGGTCCATGGTTGGCTCGTCACCAAGCAACCGCAGAAAGCCTGAGGATGCATCACAGAAGCCCTAGTGTCCAATGTTCACAGCGCACATAAACTAAGTCAAGTGAAGTCGCTCGGTCGTGTCCAACTCTTTGCCACCCTGTGGACCGTAGCCCGCCAGGCTCCTCCATGCATGGGATTTTCCAGGCAAGAATACTGGAGTGGGTTGCCATTTCCTTCTCCATTAACTAAGTAAAGACACTGATAATGTCTGCAGCAGAGAAACAGGTCAATATCACATGACCCAGCAATCGGCCAATCACAGTCACCCTCCCTTCCCCTCAGGGCACCTGGCGCACTCTCTGAGATGGTGCTGGTCCCGCTCACTCGTGCCGGGAGCTGCGATGAGGTCGAGGCACCGGGAAGCTCAGTGTCCGTCCTGATAGGCTTGGTCAGGGTAGCTCAAGGCCACCCTCGTGGGGGGCTGGACCTCCATCCCGGTGCGTGGGCGTCTGAGGTCAAGCTGGGGAGGGAGCTGTTGATGGTTGGGTTCAAGATGGAGCCGGTGCCGTCACTCTGATCGAGGTGGGAATTCAAAGCGTGTTGGGTCTGGGGCAGAAGGCGTCATCTGGGCCCACAAAGGGGATCCCAGTCAACGTGCCAAGGAGAGAGAGTCCATCACAATTCAGGAAGAGAGTCAGGCTGGGTCGACCCAGCTCAGGGCAGGCTGCGGGTGTGACCTGAGGGTTCCAGAGGTCAGGCCTCCTGAGGGCTCAGCGCTCCCAGACCCCTGCCCAGGGGACCTCCCCCTTCCATCTCCACGGCTCCCCATGGCTCCAGCAGTCCTACGTCCCCAGGCCTCTTGGGCCCTCTGGCTCGCCAGGGGCTGGTTGCTGCCTTGACCACAGCCGATGGGGGACAAGGACAGCCTGGGACACAACCTGCAATACAGGGGACTCTGGGGACACAGAGGACAGAGGACAGGGGTGCCCTGGGAGCCTCATCCCAGACATTCCCACCCCAAACACAGACTTGACTGCAGATAGAAACTTCGGGGTCCTGTCCCAGGCATCTGGGACTCCATTCACAAAGCTGAGTGTGGAGGCTCCAGTGGAGAGGGGGCCACCAAACTCTCATCTCACTGGCCCGCTGGGTACAATGCCACCACCCCGTCCCTTGCTGCTTTGCCAAGAGCAATATCCCATTTACTTTCTTGTAAGTTTTTGTTGTAGAAAACTTTGAACACAAAAAATAAGGATGCAGGTGAATGAAAGACAGCCCCATGCTCTCATCAGCGAATTCCCCAAAGTCTTGCGTTTACTGACGATACAACCACACCATAATTCCTCTCTTATATCACCTTTGGAAGCAAATTCCAAATATTGGGAGCTGTTCCTCTGAAATACTGCGATTGTGTCCTGAGGTACAAGGACCTCAAAGAGAGCTACAATGTATTATCAAACCTGATCAGATATCATGAGTAAATTGTTAATATCAAATGACAGTTCTCAGCAAACGCCTCACATTGTCAACTGTGAACTGAATTCGTCCTGTTCTCGGTGGTGTTTGATTTTGTGGTTTTTCTTGTTGTTTACATGAGGATTGAGCAAGGTTTGACACCCTGGTTGGTGGATGTGGCTTAGTCTCTGGCTTTTCCTGGCAAGGAGGGGTCTCAGGAGATCAGCTGCTATCTGGACCCCCCAGGGTTGGGGTACAGCCTCCCGTATCCCCTGGTGTACCTGAGTGGTCCTGTCTGCCTCATGGGCCTGCAAAGCGGTTCTGGCTCCACAGGGTTAACAAGTTCAGGGTGGACTTTGGCAAAATTGCTTCCCAGGGCCGTTAACTACCCTCCGTCAGTGGCCCCAGGCAGGGAGACCACCTTTGAGTGTCATTCGCAGTTGGTGCTCAGTGACCCTCTCCATCCAAGAGAAGGACTGCATCAGGGCGGAGATTTCAGATCTGGACTCTTTCCCTCGGGGGGCTCCCATGTCCCTGAACGGGCTGCTGTGTGTTTCATAGCCAGCGAAACAGAAGTTCTGTTATGACCCTAATCTTCTTGGGGCCCCCTTACAGCACGATGCTCTGGAGTCTGCCGTTCTCCCACGGCGAATAATCCAGGACGTAAACGAATCTGGCTGTGTGAACACACTGCCAGCTCTTTTCCGAGGATGGCATTTGGGCTCCAAAAGATGGACATGTGTCCACTGGGAGCCTCTGCAGGGGGCTCCTGGGTCCCATGTGACGGACCCTTGAGACTCGCATATTCTGGGTGACGACGTATCTAACTCTTGCTGTGCATTTTCGTTCCAATAACCGGAATTGGCCAGGATCTGGGTTTCTTCTCTTGGCAGCTGGCATTGGCTCAGGGAGGACACGCGGCTCCTGTCTCGCTGTGAATGAGGCAGGGCAGGAATCCCCCCCAGCACACTCCCCAGCGTGAGACCAGATCTGAGAGTGACAGGGATGCCCCAAGCCTGGAGGCCAGGCTGTCATCTCCTACAGGACCAGCCCCACCCCAACTCAAGACAGTCCCAAACTAGGATATCCAAGGGACACCCTCGGCGTGATGCTCAGGCACCTAGGAGGATTCCAACAGCTCCGAACACTGGTCAACTGCCTTGACCTGGAAGGGGCTAGGGGTTGTGGTGGGGAGGGGACACCCTCTGCCCTCACCTCATGGTCTCGCCAAGGAAGGAGGGTTGTCCAAACACGCAGAGAAGAGGTGTCCATTTCCAAGGAAACTCATGGACCCAAAGATGCCTCCACACACTTGGTAAATCCCAGGAGACAGCAACCGGGGACCGCGGGTCAGACACCACCTTCCTCTG